GGGGGGGGGTAGGCCACCCATTTGACACCGATGCTGCATGCCTTGCCTAAACTCCCTCGTCTGTGGGCCGCCAAGATTGGAAATCAACTGAAGAAAAGGGGGGCACTCATCACGTATGGAGACGGCTAGTGCAACTCCCGTAGTCTCCGCGGTGGAGTGGAGTCGCGATACCGTTCGATATGGTTCCGCATCTGATGCGCCTCTGCGACCTTCTTCGTGGGAATATATGGGGCGCCGCCCACCGCGACGGACGGCGCCAACAGGAGCTTGGCCAAACTAGGCTCTCCCTCTGCGCCTAGGCGCGCCTAGCTGCGCCCTCCGAGTGTGGGACCGGACGCGGCGCGATCTCTCGTGGGACCGCTCCGCCCAGCAGCGACCAAGGCAAGCGGGCTTCTTCTACGTATAGCTCCCAGCTGATCCAGCACCCGGCCTCCCGGCTCCAGCAGGGGGCGCTTGCCGAGAGCAAACATGATGCCGCCGGGCCCTTATATCCTGTGGCGACTTCTCGGCAGGCAATGTGGGAGAGGGAAGTCCGAGGGTGCGCAGCGGTCGCGAGCGAAAGCACACCACGCGCAACGCAAGTCGCGGGGGAGCGGGCGCGGGGAGGGCGGTGCGGCACGCGTAAGCACGGGGAGGAGGAGGTCTCGGAAGGTCTGGCGCAGACACTCCCATGCTCCTCACTCCTCCCCGGTCGGATCGGGTATCGGTACGGTACAGTGTGACGCGACGGTGACACCGCTCGCCACTCTCAGAAATAAGTAAAATAAAATAACAATAACAGCAGTTGATTCTACTCTTAGAAGAGAGGCCAGACCTTTTGTGTAAAAAGGTGAGCGGGGGCCGCGGGGGCCAGTGTTCTTATCTTTTCAGCGCACTTATCTCGACCTCATCCGCTCTTATCGTAAACGAAAGGAGCCAACTTCCTAGATCTGTAGCAGTGTCATTTTGGGATGCTTACACAACACGCCGGCGCGCAAAAGGCCTCCTCCCGAACGCTGCCGGTGGTCGTTGCGTGGCTAGGCATAGACTTACCGGCCCTGGCTGCCGCGCCTAGCGTGCCGCGGTGGTCTAGGGGGCGAGGGTGCGTGTGGGGCTTCCCCGGGTAGGGGGAGGGCGCGGCGGGGCGCGGCGAGGGCGGGAGTAGTGGGTGATAACCGACGTGGAGCGCACAACCGGCGCATGAATGCAGCCGCCGCAGCCCACTACGGGTATGAGGAGGCCACAGGACCTGGAGATCGAGACATTGAGTATGTACATTATTAAAAGCTCATATTTGACATGCTGCTCTCATATTGTTCTTTTCGACGTCTTTTAGAGCAATGAGCTGACGGAAATATTTCAGTTCCTAATCTTCATGTCGATTGATAACTACTGAAGTGTGATCGTAAGTCCCATTTATGCAACCGCGGATGAGCCATGGGCCACTACGAGGGTGGGTGGGTGCCCCTGACGGGCGCTCAGAGTCCAGGTTGGGGTGGCAGGACGGCGGTGGTAATGTGAGGTGGCGGGGAGGGGAGGGGCGGCTGGGCAGACGGACGCCCACACACACACGAGTATCGCGTCGTCAGTCTGAGGACAGCGATCACCAAGGCGCGACGGGCAACGTAGGCCCCCCGCAGGCGCGAAGGTGCGCGGTGACGAGTGCTCTCGTCTCGTTGTGTCCACTCGCGGGCCGCCCTGGTAGAGGAGCACACCGTGCTCGGCGTTGTGGACAAACTGCCGAGCTGCTGCTTCTGCTGCGTACACACACTGTCGGTGGTGAGTGCCCGGGTGTGCCGTGTGCGAAGGGGCCACAGTGTCGTCTCTGCCATTCGGGGAATTCCCACTCCGACAAAATATCTGCTTTCAAACAAATGGCGTTTCCGAGGACAATCTTCCGTGTTTTTTTGTGTTTGTTTTTTTGGCAGGGGCGTAGCCGGAGCTCGGGGGGAGCAGAGGACAGCGGGGTGGGGGGCGTGTAACCCTAGATGCTCCCCTGCTTCTTCCCCTGCCGCCCTCCCCCGCCGGCGCTATGCCTCTATTCGATTACAACACGTGTGTCCACGTGGGGGAGGGGAGGGCGCGGGCAGCGGCGCCGCCGCCGGGGAAGGGTTAGGGCGAGGGCAGCGCGACTCCCGCATACCGATTTCGGGAACCTGCAGAGAGGTGTTGACGGAGGCGGGCAAGGAGCTTGCGTGTGCTCCCCCAGGGAGGGTCGGACGCGATCAATCACAAGGGGTTTGTTTTCGTCCCCGTCCCCCCAGTGCGGCTCTTCGATGACGGGACCGGCGGACGCAGCTCGTGACGCAGCCCGGTGTGGGGCCGGGGGCTGACGACAGTGATCCTGCCATGGACACGGAGCACCTATTCGAGCACCTCGTCATGGAGCAGGACGCTGACGAGGACCCGGCCGCCAGCGCCTGCGGGACGGGCAGCGGCAGCGGCAGCATCGGCAGCAGCTCGGTACGGGCGCAGAGTCGCAGAGGCAGAGGCCGCACTGCTTTGTGGCGGTGAGTACCGAGAACGACGCCACCTTCCAGTGAAGTAACTCGGCCCCGCCTCCCCTCCACCCCCTCAGGTGGACTCGGACACCCCGCGGGGCGTGACGCTGTCGTGGAGGGACCTGACCGTGTTCGCCACGGCCCGGGGCGCGCCCTGCAAGCGCATCATCAAGCACGGTGAGTGCAGTGCAAGTATACTTTGAGGTCGGCGCCGGCCGCCGACGGCGACCTCCTCTGACCCAGGTGAGCTGCTGTGAAGACCTTTAGGTCTTTTGAGACCTAGGTTTAATGACCATGGGAGCGTTGTCGCAGTGAGCGGCGCGGTCCGGCCCGGCGCCCTGGTGGCCGTCATGGGCGCGAGCGGCGCTGGCAAGAGCACGCTCATGACGGCGCTCGCGCACCGCAGCCCGGCCGGCGTCGCCGTCAGGGGCGACATCCGCGTCGACGGCCGCCCCGTCGGCGACTTCATGCGCCGGCTGTCGGGCTTCCTGCACCAGGAGGACCTGTTCGTCGCGGAGCTAACGGTGCGCGAGCACCTCAACTTCATGGCGCGGATGCGACTCGACCGGCGCACCAGCTGCTGGGAGCGGCAGCGCAAGGTCCAGCAGCTGCTGCGCCAGCTAGGGCTGACGGCGTCGCAGCACACGCGCATCGGCACCCCCGGCCACGACAAGGTCATCTCCGGCGGGGAGCGCAAGAGGCTGGCCTTCGCCACGGAGGTGAGCGATCCACCGACCTCCTCGTCGAGGTGCTGGTCCGCTCGTGTTTTTTAGGTCGATTGCGCTGTCTGCAGCTGCTCACGGAGCCGCCGCTGCTGTTCTGCGACGAGCCCACCACGGGGCTGGACTCGTACTCGGCGCAGCAGCTGGTGGACCTGATGCAGCGCATGACCGAGCGGCCCCGCGGCCGCGGCAAGACCATCCTGTGCACCATCCACCAGCCGTCCTCGGACCTGCTGGCTCGCTTCCACCGCATCATGCTGGTCGCAGACGGCAGGATCGCCTTCATCGGCACGCCCGAGGACGCGCTGCTGTTCTTCCGCGAGTGAGTGTCCGCGGGCGCGTCCAGTGCTTGCTAACCCACGCCAATGTCCCGAGGGGTCCTTTACTCAAAAAAATCAGTGTCCACCCTTAGAAAAAATCACGAAAAAATCATAAAAAAATCAAGAAAGAATCACTAAAAAACAAAAAAAAATTAACGAAGAGTCAGAAAAAAATCACAAAATCACAAAAAAACACGAAAAATCACATAAAATCAAGAAGGACAGAAAAATCGGTGTACGCTACAATTTATAGTGAAGGACCCCTCGCCCCTGTCCCGACCGACCGACCCCTCTGACCCGAGCGGTCGCGCGTGTTGCAGGCAGGGCTACGTGTGCCCCGCCAGCTACAACCCGGCCGACTTCTTCATCCGCACGCTCGCCTGCATGCCCGGGTCGGAGGAGGCCTCCAAGGCCGCCGTCAGGAAGATCTGCGACCGCTTCGCCGTGTCGGACCACGCCAGGAAGATGGAGATGGAGGTGATGCAGGTGAGAGCACGTGTGTGTATGTACTCATGTGTGTGTGTGAGCGAGAGCGGAAGGGGGCGAATCAAACTTCCTGTCTGTTGTATTATTGTGTCGCAGGATCTCGGAGAATACGACAAGGATGTGGCTTGTGGGGACGTGTAAGTATACAAAACACGACCAAGAATTAGCGGGAAATATCGGGAAAATGTGAGACTGAAAGCGGAACCTACCCGGCGTTTGTTGTTCAGCCAGCAGCCTCCGGTGGAGCCGCCCATGTGGCCGCAGAAGCTGTGGCTCCTGACGGGCCGCGCCATGCTGCAGGTCGCCAGGGATCCCTCAATCCAGGGGATGCGGCTCCTCCAGAAATTGGTGAGCGCGAGGATCTTGCTCGTCTCGTATAGCGAAGTGGTTGCCAGGAGGCTGATTAGCCCCGCGCAGTTATACTGTACCGCATTCTTACGTGCGGGCGGGTTGCCTACTCGCTCGGGCCGTAAGGCGAAGGGATAGGCATAGGGCACAGGGGGATAGGGGATGCACGATCTGGGTACTTCAAGGAAAGCCCTTGAATACCATACGAAAAGTCCGAGGCTCTCTTGGAAGCCGCGGGTTTCAAGACAGAGTCTGGGATTTCAAGGGCCAGTCTTGAAATTATCCACCCGACCTTGAAACTCAAGGAATTTCCTCGGATTTCAAGACATTCTTTGTACCGGGTATGTAGGTCCGCTAAAAATTGTCCTTCTTCCCCACCATCAGGCGATCGCGGTGATGGCCGGCCTGTGCTTCCTTGGCACGGTCTCGGTGTCGCAGACGGGCGTGATGTCGGTGCAGGGCGCCCTGTTCATTCTGGTGTCGGAGAACACCTTCTCGCCGATGTACTCGGTGCTGGGCGTCTTCCCGTCGGAGCTGCCCCTGTACCTCCGCGAGCACAGCGCCGGCCTGTACGGGCCCGGCGCCTTCTACATGTCCAAGGTCCTCTCTATGGTGAGCCCGAGGCTATGCCGACACCCTGCCGATGATCCGCGCCGCCACAACTTTCCCAATAACACACAATGCAATCTGATCCGTTCGTCTCGGTTTTCCTCGGGTTTCCTCGCAGCTGCCCGGCCTGGTGGTTGAGCCGCTGATCTTCGCGGTGCTGGCCTACTGGCTGGCCGGTCTCCGCGACGACCTCTACGCCTTCGGCATGACGGCGGCCATCGTCATCCTCACCATGAACGTCTCGACGGCCTGCGGCTTCTTCTTCTCGGCCGCCTTCGAGTCGGTGCCGACTGCCATGGCGTACCTCGTGCCGTTCGACTACGTCCTCATGATCACCTCGGGCGTGTTCGTCAAGCTCAGCACGCTGCCGTCGTACGTGTCGTGGACCCAGTACCTGTCCTGGCTCATGTACTCCAACGAGGCCATGAGCATCCTGCAGTGGCAGGGCGTCGGCAACATCAGTGAGTAGACCACCAAGCGCCTCGAGCTGTCTCTCCACCATCTCTATAATCTCCTATGCCCCTTTCCCTCCCCCGCAGCCTGCCCGGACGCGACGCTGCCCTGCCTCCAGGACGGCGATCACGTCCTGGACCACTACTCGTTCGACGCGACGCACCTGTCGAGGAACATCATCGCCATGGGCGCGCTGTACGCCCTCTTCCACGCGCTGGGCCTGCTGTGCCTCTGGCGCCGGGTCAGGCGACTCCAGTGAACCCCACCCGCTTGTGGTTGACAATTATTTGTATTACTCTGTACCGCGAATCCCGTTTTGTGTACTCCCGCGCTTCTCCTCACCGACCAAAATGTTCTGCCACTAAAGATTTTGTACTACGCGAACACCACGCTGCCCTCTGCCTTATCCCGTTCAAGGCCACACCGCACACGAAAACGAAAAACTGCGCGTTCACATGCAGCTGGGTATGTATGGGTGTGATATGAGTGTCAGTTGTGTACTTCGTACTGTACACTAACGACACAGTCACGCCCTGCGCGTCGCGGTATGACGCAGTGCACCTCACGTTTGCTGTTCCACATTATTATATTGTTGACGCCCCAGTTCCCATTATGGGTGACGCGGCAGCCAGAAGGGGCGTTATGGGGCCTGGCGGGGCCGCCGAGGAGCGTCCGCAGCCTAACGCACGGCGGGGGCGCGCGTGCTGCCCGCCCGCCAGGCGCCCCCGCTCTCACGCTGCTCTGCCCGCCGTTGTTGGTGGTTCGATCGCGCGCGCTCCGCGCTCCGCCCCGGCTTTAGCCCCGACCAACCGCAATAAACGTCATGGGGGCCTCCGGAGCGCGCGCGCTCGCTGGCTGCGCCGCGCTAATGTCATTATCGTCACCGGCGGAAGTTTTCCTTCGGACCACCGGGGCGCACCACACCACGCAAGAGGTAATACCCTCTGGTATAGACGGTCTTGGGAACCGCGTATAAAAACCTGCGTGTAGTGGTGCTCCACCGGGGCCCGGCCGGTAGGGCGGACTCGCCCCCGCCAGCCACCCCCTCATGGAGCACAATCACCGCGCGCAGCCACCACCACCGCCACGACCGCGCGCCTCGCCTCGCCACCGCCACGCAGCTCAGCGCCGCGTCGGTCGTCGGGCTCTTCGCCGAAACGGTTAAAAACCGGATGCTCTATACGTCGGTTCTCTGGCAAGGCTGGCAAGGCGGGTAGGTGGGGCCGAGCCGGGCGG